GCGGTTAGTTGCTGCCTTCCCACTGCGGTGGCCCAGGTTTGAGCCCAGGTCTGATCATGTGGGATTTGTGCTGACTCATATTTTTATGCATATAACATATTTGTCAGATTACCTATGGTGAACAGACCAATGGGGAGATTCAGAAGTAGATGGGAGGTTAATATTAAAATAGGGTGTGAAGGTGCAAACTGCAATGAACTGACACAGGATAGGGTCCAATAAATCTTTTGTAAATATTTTGATAATCTTCCATAAACACTTCAGAATAACTATTGACCACTGAAGAAGAACCTGTATGTGGAGTTACTTATATTTTTATGAGAGAGGAAACTGAATTTCTAAATTCACTTACTCAACAGTGAATTCAGTGTCACCCACTGGAATACAGTATACAAACTGCAGGGCAGACCACAGTCGGTGAAACTCTGTACATTCATCAACACTGAGGACACCGTTGGCAGGTGGGGGGCCAACCCAGATGGGATCATCCAAGAAACTACGCAAGCGACTCAGCACAACTTCAAAAATGGACAGTCCACAGCAAAGACGCTCTCTTGTCAACAGGTCACCTTCACGAGCAATCATAGCTTGCTGAAATGATATGACACAGAGTGTTATTTCTAAACCTAAATGCAAAGCATTCATGTCTTCATGAGACATACAGTCTCATATATATTGTAACATGTTGAGCTATGNAATATTGTTAACATATTGTGACATGTTGAGCTATGGATGACGCCCCTCCCCCCACACCAGCCGTGATGCGCCGAGCGAAGCCGAAGTGAGCCGAAGTTAGCCGAGTCCTAGCATCCTGGTCGCTAGGCAACGCGAGTCAACAGCGATGACGTCACAAAATTTACCGCGGGTTGCTAGGCAGCGCGGGTAACCAGGATTGCGAGAGACGACGGTAGTAACAGCGGTTATTACCGNTAGTATTTGTGATACTGCAGATAGCAGTAATTGTGAATCTGTAATTTGGGTGATTGTAAGTGCGAATGTGAAATAAAATTCGCTATATAAAATACGGCGTGAATTTATTTGTCGCGTTATACGCCCAATACGCGACAACTGGTGTCAGAAGTGGGATTTGAACTTACACACGTGACCAACAAGTTTCGTACTCAAAACACGTGATAATTTGGTGTCAGAATTGTTTACGAGCTTAAACAAGCCTCGAAGAATTAAACCTACGACTGCTTCGACTATTCTACTGCTACAAGATGGAGATGCAGCAGACGATGGAACTTCTACTGAAGAAAATCAGAGACAACCAAGAAATGTTCCGAAACCATCAAGAAGAGATGAGGGCAAACCAAGTAAAAGCAGATGCCGACCGAGTGCACATACAAGAAATGTTCCGCTCCTATCAAGAAAAGGCGGAGGCCAATAGAAGAAGACAGAGAAGATTTCCTGGCAGTGCTATATACTGCTTCGCTGTAAGCACGGAAGTCAAGTGATATTTCCTACTTCTTGCATGGCATGACAGACCAATGTGGCCAAAGGTCTCCCATTTTTGGGGTTTTGGAATCTTATAGGCCTCCTTGGATGGGGGATCTGCTTTCACAAGGCCTTTACTTAAACAGAAAAATACAGAAAAGTTGTAGACATACATTAATGCTCCAAGTGGGATAAAAAAAACTCATGATGCCAGTATTTGAACAGTGGAAGACAGTCTACGATTCTGCTTGCATGACCACTGTGACTGGCAAGTGATTTTTAGTTGGTATTAAAGAGAAACAATCACAGCCACTTAACAAACCCCACTTCCCCATAGATTTACTTATGGTATGCTTCATACAAATAAATTTAAATTTCCCAGTGGTCTCAGCTAACTCACCCATGATGAAAGGACAAGTACTTGGTGTGCTACATGCAAGTAATATATAGAGCAAAAGGATATAAAATCTTAGTCAAGGAACCTTAAGGTGAAAACCACTTCGAAGATGAAACTATAAATATAAATATTCTGACACCGGTGTCATGTTTATTGAACGCTCACTTTTACACTAGCGAGTACAATTATCATTACTATCAGTAATACAATTACTGCTTCTGCTATAGTGAAAGCCAAACTGAAGACTGAATACTCTTCTAAGGTCAAATGAAAACTGAACTGTTCCCAGCAACTTCTAGAACTCAACTGTCAACTCAATTCAACTCAACTGTCTGGTCCCTTCAAAGATGGACTTTTATAACCTGGTCTCAGACGAAATATAGTGCACCATGTCGGAGCCTTTGGTCTTGGCTGCTGTCATGTAATGAACCCTTTGTTGTCCCTTCATCCCTAGGGAAATGCACTTGTTGCTTAAGTTATTCCTAGGCAATGGCCCACTGTTATTGCGTTTCCATGGATGTATACCTTCCAGATTCCCAGCATGAGACAATATCATAAAAATACTAAAATGGAGCTTAAAGAAACAGGATGCGAGGATGCGGAGTTGATATCTCTGGTTATGTCCACTGGTATGTTCTTTTGAAGGTGGTAAAACCACCTCTGTTCTCAGTTTGTATATCCTCACCTTGCCATAATGTACTGACTGTTTCATACATAAGTGATTTCATGTATAAGAAATCTGTTTTTCTAACAATGCCCATGACTATAACCAGGGTTTGGAAAATGTGCTCACCATACGTGAGTTGGTGGAAAGAAATTTAAAAGATTCATTTATATTAATGGGCTATAAACACAAATTTCTGTGTGATGCTGTAAGGTCTGTGAGGAAAAAAGTGTATCTTGTAATGAAAACTAGAAATCTTAACTACAGTAAAACTTGGTTATAGCAACATCGGTTTCTGCGACACCTTGTCTATTGCGTCAATATTCAATGGTACGAACTAATTCCTCATAAAGCAACTGTTTTTATACCTTGCTTAGTACGACATGCACAAATGCATCAACCTCGTATGTAACGTCATTTTCATTCCTGAATTTCTCTGATATGGACATTGAACGTAATTTAGAAAGTGTGTATTGGGCAAGTAACAGGAAACAGATGAAGATAACTGATTACTGTACTCGTATCTAGGTACAGTAAGGCACAACAATTGATGTAATCTACTGTAATTTGGTGAGTAGGCCTACCTTTAATATACAGTATTAGTGCGGTGTGTATTGTCAGTGAAAAGCGCTGTAATATGTCTTTGATATTACACATTTGGGCAATTCCACGTTAATGTTACGTTAGTCTGTACTTAACTACGTATTTCACTAAAAAATGCAACATTTTAACTCGGCTTTTGGTAGATTTTTACGTGACTAACATAAGGCTACTGTGGAAGTGCCCATTTCGGTTACAACGACATTCGTTCATAACGACACTATTTTTAGGTCCCTTTGATGACGTTATAACCAAGTTCTACTGTACTTTCATTCTAGATGGAACAAAGGACCCCACCAATATACCACAATTTAATGAAAATATAAGAAAGGAAAATAATATATATAAAAGAGATAATATTTTATTTTCTTTAAAATTATAGCTATTTTCTATTATATCACTGAAATAAGTCAGTAGAGCTCCTTCAAAACAGTTTTAGTTATGGAAAGAGTTAAACTCTTCATGTAATCAGAAATAAGCTCATATAGTAATTTTTAAGCCTTTGGAGTGTTGCATGAAGTTATCATTAGACTTAATATTTCAGTATACTGATAGTAACAACACATGAGAATTAATTTATTACTAAGCTTTGTAAAATTCATACTACAGTTCCTTAATAATGTTTTACATAACCCATTATTGGATTCCCAATGACTCATTGTAAAAATCATTCATTACACACAGTACAGTGACGTTACAGTGTAAATAGAAAACCTTACTTTGGGGGTGCCGAGATTTTCAATGTTGGGAACAATTTGAAGAGCTGCATACTTCGCTTCCAGTCGCTTCTGCTTTGTCTCAGGTTTCTCACCATCTGTAAAATGTAAAAGAAAATTTGGATTACCAAGAAAACTGCTAATTGCTGTAATGTTGACATCTGCAACCACAATGATATCAAAGACAAAAATATATGAGGAAAAAACAGCAGCTATGACTGTAACTTAGAAGACAGGAAACAAAGTAACATAAAAAAAACAAACTCCGTGGCTTGAGTCTGCTAGCAAACTCTACTGACTGAGTGACTGCCACTTGTCGGCAAAGTTACTGCCAACTTTAGCGGATAGAGGGTGTTGCTTGGTAAGCACAATTAATTCCCACGGCCGTTAATTTTGGTTTTCTAGACCGAAGATGCTACTTTTCCATCCAAGTAGCTCCTCAGTTATCCTCACGAGGCTGAGTGGACCCCATTTCAGATCAACTACTTCTCAGAAAATCTGGTAGTACTGGGATTCGAACCTGGGACCTCTGGATCCATAGCCAGGAACTCTGACCACTAGACAACAGGGGCAGTCACAAAGCAACTCAGAACGAGAGGAAAAAAACTTTCATAAATATTTAGGACCAATAAATGAGATATACAAACACCATAAACAAGAGATGGCAATGGTAAAAGGTTCAAGGACATGTTATGTAAGCTTGAAATTAGGCTTCCCTTTACTCTTCACAAGGTGTGACCTTGCCTCACTCCAGGTTGCCTGGTACTCATTTCTGTTAGAGGCTGAGTCAACTACAGGGCCACAGTGTGGCTGGAAGGATTAGGTTAATTGAAAAAAATCCAATGACCTCATCAGGACTTCAACCTGTGACGTTCCAGCTTGCAGCATAGCCCCTGAATCAACTACACTCCTGCGTGCCCCATCGAAAATGAAAGGTATCCTAATGGCAGATAAGACAAGAAGGAACAACAGAGGGTCTACTTTCTTTTTGTAGACTTCATCCTTCAATCCTCTGTTCATGTCACAGTTCAATCACTGGATATTCCTTCTGGTTCAGAATATCCAATAGTATTACAAGGAAGAACTTGGTTGTTAATCTGTACTGCTTTCCTTAATATTTGTGCTGACATCATCATTGCCTTAGATTCTTTATCTTGGATGGGTCCAGTGATAAATACTGCCTGTCCAGAGGTAGTTTTTAGTCTGCATGTGAAGATTTCTCTGTGATTGTTACAGCTTCTCTTTTGGAACTGTCCATTAATAAGAAAACTCAGAAGTTCTTTGAAGTGGAGTTATTCTTCTTTGTTAAAATTACAAGTTGCACTGAGGTGGTCCAATGTGTCACTGATACTGCAGATGCAGAGCTATGTAACCAATCCAATTATCTGGTTACAATGGTTACTGAACAGGACATCAATAAGGAAAATGATAAATTATTGACAGCAGAACTGGGCCTTCCTGCATGGCCATCTCCTATTGCAAAGGTAAAGTAACTGGGGGGGGGGTAACTCAGGATGTGCCTAGACCTCAGAATGGTTAATTATGTTACATAGTGGGAGCACACACACAGAGACAGCATGGTGATCCTACAAGTCTGCTTTTTATTTCATTAATGAAAGCAGGCTAAAGAGACCAAAATGTAAGAATTCTTTACAATTCTTGTATCATTAATAAAAAGAGTATCAACTAAAACTGAAGTAATACATTATATCATTATACTACACAGTCAATAAGTTCGTGGACTGGCCAAAGGTAGTCGTTGCAGTGCACTACAGCAGATAGGTTGAGGCATGATCTGATGACCTGTCAGTTCATCTCTCGTCACAGCAAGAGGCAGTTGTGTGCAAACAGTGTAAGCAGAACTACGGCCTCTATTTTGAACTGCATTGAAAACTGTGGCAGTTTGAACAACGGGTAAACATCAAGTTCTGCCAGAAACCAGGCAAATCCCCTAGCGAAACGTTTGGAGTAGGAAGAATTGGCTGTTGCTACACGACAACGCCCCTGAACATCGCTCTGTTCTTGTCCAAGAGGAACTGGCAAGGCAACAGGTCACCGTTTTGCCTCACCCTCCGTACTCACCTGATCTCGCACCATGTGATTTCTCTCTCTTTCACCGCGTGAAAGCAAAGCTGTGTGGTCGTAGATTTCAGTCGTCCGAGGAGGTCGTCATTGCCATAAGAGACGCCGTACGGGAATTTCCTGCCAATATGTTTCAGCAATGTTTCCGGTAACTATATCAACGTTAGCAGACTTGCATAGCGGCCAACAGAAACTATTTTGAGGGTCGATGTGGATCTGTGTAAGTGTATGTGAATACCTTGTAATATGATGCGATAAAACCACAGTCAACGAACTTAATGACTCTACCACATATATATGTATTTCATATGTTCCTTTCGAACCTGACACCAGCTACTATGTATTGAACATACCTTTGCAGTACGGTCTTGGTAAAATGTTTTGAAATGGGGCTGCGTGTAACAGGTCACATACTTCCTCCTGTGATAATGCTTGCTCCATCAACAGGCAAAACAATATTGTGTTTCCAAATTCACGGAAGCTATGGAACAACTCAGTTCGTGCATCTGGATACTGGACAATATCGTTCAGCTGAGCATGATAATAGCCAAGCACACCTAAAACATAAACATCCTCACACTTAATATATACTGAAAATCAAATAACTTGGTGGAAAACAATTATTTGCATCATGTCACTGATTGTAAGAAGGTGAGAACTATCTCAGTCACAGGCAGTCAGGCTGTATGGTTCATTTCACGGGTGCACTATGTTGTCCGGTTACACTGCTGAGGCATGTGACGTTGGATTATGAAAGTGAGATATACTAGAGATGTGTGTCTCAGATTTTTGAGATCAAATTGGGAAAAGAATTTATTGATTCAAATGTTATTTTTTTTTGTCTCAAACTTTGAGAATTTTCTAATAATTGCAACTGATTTGCTCATCAGGGTTTCATGTCAAAAGGACTGGAATCATATCTGCCTGAATGGAAGATGGGGTTCCCCTCTTTTTAAGAACTACAAAACCACCCATAATGAATTATAAGGGCTATGTATACATATATTAGTTATTTATTTGTATCAAGCTTTTAGTGCCTTCATGGCATAACTGATTCCAACATGATATGAGAGTAGCATACATCATATTATGTTAATACTGAGGTTAAAGTTCTGCCCATCCAATTTACACAGGTTTGTTAGATTTCCTGACTGTCTCAATACATGCCAGGAACTGAATTCAGAGAACTTAGGTTTCAAAGATTACACATTATAGAACATTGTTCTATCTAAAAGTTTTATTAGGCAAAACAATATTTTATAACACACATGAAAAAGGACACTTGACTTACCAGGAGAACCATAGTCATATCTAGGCAGCTTGCAAATTTTAGGCATGGCTTCCATCAATGTCTTTGTGAACTGTAGCAAGTTTCCTTGCACCAAACTCTTGACAATTTTGAGCAGTTCTTCCATGACAACTGCGATGCCTTGGTACCCCAATAACCGGCACATAGTCCGGAAATGGGTGGCACCCACAAAACCTATAATCAAAGTAGCACAATTTTCCATACCGTTCAGAATACATAAATAAATGAAGGTCAAATTCTTGTCCAGTGGTACAGTGTACAAACACTCATATTTAAGACTTTACCTTGACCATGACCACAAATATCAAAATAGAGAAATCAGCCTTATTTCCACTACAGCAAGCCATATTATGACAATGCCTTCTCAATTTTATCTATCCTCCATTGAGCAACCTTACTTTAGCTGTGTCCAATTTTTCTTTCCATTTTTTATATATCTTCACACATTTATAAATCCAAATGGTTATTTATTTTTCACCTTCATTTTCTACTGTTCTCATAGGAATCCTATCATTGTCTATGCATAAGCAGCCTCCGTAGTCTAGGGGTAATGTTCCCACCTCATGACTCAAGGTACACGGGTTCAAACCCGGCAGAGGTCGTGGAATTTTTAAGGGCGGAAAAATTCAGGGAACAAGTCCTGCTGTGGGTCTCGTGTCATAGATTTACGGCACGTAAAAGATCCTCATGTCTCCAGGAGACCTCTGAGCAAAATTAGGCAAAGTTTCCCGCCCAAGTAGTTTCCAATGCCTCCGGTAGATGGGGGAAGTATCGGGTACCACTGCCGACCTCGTTGGCTGAACAGGACTGATAGCAAGCACCAGTACCGGAAGGGTACGGCGACTGGTAGAATATCAAAGGGGGACGTACAATAGACTATTAGTTGCGGGGCATGGGGAAACCCACCCCCTCCAATAATAATAATAATAATTGTCTATGCATAACACACAGTATTTATGTCATCATATCCATAATTTGAACAATTTTTCTTGCAGTGTTTCTGTCTTCATATCTTATTCTGGTTCCATATCTCTGTCCTCATTAAGTTCTTAATACTTCGTAGAAACTTATGTTAACTGCTTATGCTTGACCAGCGATCTCTCTTATCCACATTTCTGCTCCATATATCAGAACAGAGAAGTAACACAATTTATATAAAGCAAGTTTCTAAGGGGACAAAACTGCAGCTTGGAGACTGTAATACCCTGATCATTATTAGTTCATGGTTTGTACACACAGCTTCTGACATACTGTTACTATGTCTAAGGAAGAGACACAACAGGCTGATGTCTCACCTGTATACTGCCCATATATAGTGCTATAGGCCAAGTTCAGTTGTTTGCTACCCCAAAGATAGTGATGACCCATCTGTGGGGGCTTGTCTCGATGCACTGGTTGAGTGAATGTGATACCACGGCACTTTACAAACCTTGTGAAGAAGGGAAAAAGAGAAATATACAGTATAGTTAAAAAAAACCTGAAATGATTCCTATCCTTTGTCAGTTCTACTTGCATGGATTTTGTTTTTCTCTTTTACCTTTAGTTTTCCTTTTATTACTAATTTCAGTTCTGCAACAATTTTTTTTAGGTTTAAGATCAGAGTTAGAAAAAGTAAGAATATTTTCAGGAACAGTGTGGCCAGATGTGACAAAATATATCCCTTCCATCGTTAACAATATAACATTTCTGAACAATAATTGTAAGTGGATACATCATTCTACATTGCAGCTGATTTGCTGGTGGTCCTGCTTTATGTTCAGGGAATCCATGGTTTTATTCTAAGCCCAAAGAATAGCCATCTTGAATAAGATATTCTATGGCTTTCCTGAGTCCTACTGGGAAAATTATGGGATGTGTTAGAACAGACATGGCTATTCCCACTTCTTCACCAAAACATTATTCACAATCATCCATCCATATATTCTATGAAGCTGAGAGAGCATCATTAAATAAACAAACATATACATACTTTAATGAAGATGGGTAAAGGCAAAATTAGGGAAAAACTTCATGCTCCAATGGCATACTGATATATATATATATAACTTACAACTACCAAGAAGCAGAGTGCCATAAATAAACTGGTCCTGAGGCAGCTGAGTCCAACCCGAAATTAACAATATATATTTCCTTAACATTCTTTAACAGTACCCTTCATTCCTGTCCTGGTCTTCCAAGTAGTCACTTTAAAAGAGGTTTTCCCACCACAGCTCCACAGATATTTCTATGACTCAGATTCAAGCTATTTACCTAGCCCAATGTAACCCACAAAATGAAGTATCCTAACTATACTCATTTTTTTTTACCTTGGCACTACAGCCCCAGTGGGCCTAGGCCTACCTCCATGAACTTTTCCGTTCACTTCGGTTTTTCTAGATCTTACACATTCGGTACGACTCCTTGGGCGGGTGATCAGCTCGTCGCAAGGCCTCTACCTGTACAGAAACACAGAAAAACGCACACACACAAACTAAACATCCATGCCCTGAGTGGGATTCGAACCCACTATCCCGGTTTCCAAGCTAGTGAAGACAGTGCATGCCTTAGACTGCTCGGCTACCGTGACTGGCAACTATACTAATAGATGAACATATAGGACATATATTTCAGAGTAGCCCATGCAATTTCATCCATTTCCTGTTTCCTTTGGGAGCTACACAAAGATGAGGGAGTCAATGAGTAGTTAACACCAAAACTGTAGGCTACATTCACGGTCATGACTTACACGAGACTGTATCACTGGAAGAGTGGTTCACGAATTTTCTTACTCCCCCGGTACTACAAGATTTTCTGAGAAGTAGTAGTTCTGGAACAGGGTCCACTCAGCCTTGTGAGGATAACTGAGGAGCTATTTCAAGAAAACAGCAACTCCGGTGTAGAAAACCGAAATTAACAGCCGGTGGGATTCCTTGGGCTGACCACGTGACACCATCTATCCACTAAAGTTGGCACTAACTTCACTGACAGGATGGTACAGTTCACTTATGGACTACAGGCCATGGAGTGGCCATAAAGGGTAGAGGAAAGGAAGCTATCATTACACTCAAACACACAACTTGAATGAAGTACAAAAAGTAAAATCTTAAGATATGACTACATACAGAGGCAAAATAGAACACTGTATTTCCATGAATTTGTCTTAAGAGTATGTTAGAAGAAAAACAAATCTGCCAATACACATTTCCTTAGCAAATCTAAGTACCTTTCTCTACAGGATTTCTGAACCATAGTCAGGGAATCACTGTTTTAGAACTATACCTGTTGGTTGCTGCATTGTAGCAGTAGTTTGGGAGGAAGTCATAGTTGAGTTCCCAGAAGACATGAAGGGTAATGCGACCATAAGGAGCCAGCACATTGTGGTTAGCTTCTCTGAACATGGCATCATAGTCATCCAAAGCAAGATGCTTCGACAGCAGCTTATGACACAATCGGTTCACCTGTAGCAATCCATCCAATTCCTGGAAAAACAAAAGAAATTCCTTGGTTTACGTTGAGGTTATCAGGTACTACTGAAAGGTATCCACATGAAGAAGATGAGGAGCTCAACAAAGAGGAAATATACAGAAAGAATGGACTGAGATTAGAAAGGCATGATTATTGCAGAACAGAGAAGAATGATGTGTAATATTTTATTCACTTTCAGCCTCACAATATATTTGTAATTCTAAGATAATTATATGGTTTCTACACTATGACATGTTTCAGCCATCATCAGGCAGTATCCACACAGACCCTCTCAACTTCCTCTGTTAACCCCCTTCACCAGCCTATGTTTACAACTGGGGGAAGGTCATATTGTATGTATTATGAGAGGGGGTGGGTTTCCCCTTGCACTTAGACCAGTTATTGGTCCATTGTGCGTCCCCCTTTTAATTTCTACTGTCGCCATACCCTACCGGTAACGTG